AAATCACAAGACTGCTCTAACTGCTGATGAGAAAAGGTATTTAGCAGTTTATATTTACTAAAATAATTGCATTTCCATGTAGTGTGGAAGAGCAGATAGAGTGAATGCAGGGTCCTGGGTTTAGTAACACTAACATTATTACATAGTCCATCTACAATATTCAGCATATGTCTATTCTTTTGTATTTATAGTTCCAGATATGGTAGATATGACATGTTTGAATAGACCCCAGTTACAAGACACTTTTAACAAGCCCATTTTTAAAATAAACAGAGTTTATCCACGAAAATACTGTGTAGGTGATGTTGTTTATAGGGGTTTCTGTCTGCCAGATAATTTCAATATTCCCATGTCAAAAAATATATAGAAATTGTGCTATCATCCCCTTTCGCAAGTCCCATGTAAGTATGCGTTCGTCTTTATCCCCACCATGTCCCATGTCATGTATGTAATTTCTATATCCCCACCATGTCCCATGTCAAGTATGTAATTTCTCTATCCCCACCATGTCTCATGTCATGTATGTCATTTTTATATCCCCCCATGTCTCATGTCATGTATGTCATTTCTATATCCCCACCATGTCCCATGTCATTTCTATATCCCCCACCATGTCCCATGTCATGTATGTCATTTCTATATCCCCCAATGTCTCATGTCATGTATGTCATTTTATATCCCCACCATGTCTCATGTCATGTCATGTCATTTCTATATCCCTACCATGTCTCATGTCATGTATGTCATTTCTATATCCCCACCATGTCCCATGTCATGTATGTCATTTCTATAACCCCACCATGTCTCATGTCATGTATGTCATTTTAATATCCCCACCATGTCTCATGTCATGTATGTCATTTCTATATCCCTACCATGTCTCATGTCATGTATGTCATTTCTATATCCCCACCATGTCTCATGTCATGTATGTCGTTTCTATATCCCCACCATGTCCCATGACATGTATGTCATTTCTATATCCCCACCATGTCTCATGTCATGTATGTCATTTCTATATCCCCACCATGTCTCATGTAATGTATGTCATTTATCTCTGCCATGTCACCGTGGTATGTCCACATCTTGTGGTATGCAAGCATCTGTCCCCTGTGGTGATGTATCAAGTGTTTCACCATTAATTGGTCTTCGCCAGTTTTTAAATCATGTTGCGTTGGTTGAAGATTGTTCTGTTTCTTTATGTTACACTAATAATTTATGCAATCAAACTTTTTTATTCCTATCAACAATGATTTCCCAAATTTAAAAATGAATTGAAAGAAAACAAACTTGGGAGTTATGCTTTAATCAGAAGTCTTTATTTTAGAGTACATTTGGGTCTGTGTGAATTACATAAAAGCTACAACTGGAAAATGCATTTACTTGTAGCATACCATGTAAAAAAAAAGGGGGTAAAGATGCAGTTTTTCTCCCATATAATCATTCCCTCACTTTGCTGTCTTTCCCCTTTGTAATTTATTCTCCTTTTTTGTGTATCTAACCTGTATGTGTGTGCCTGCCTTGGCTGCATGTGTTTGATTGCCCTGACTCTTCATTTGCAGTGTACTGTGAGTACGGATATCCCATCACCTAAACTTTGTGGTGTGCAATAATTCCAGAGGTTCTGTACTCCAGTAAGACAATTGATAATAAACGGGGAAGAAATGCAAACATTAAGGAGAATGTAGCAATTGCAGAGGAGACAGAGGAAAAAGGTGGAGGTGGACAGAGGAGAGTTCTGATATGACCACTTTAATTGAGGACTATAGGGTGTGACTTGCCATATGATTTGCAACTCACATGGCATGGTCGCACCCAGTGTGGCTAGACTGCTCATGTGTGCAGTAACCAATGCAAAGAAAAGCTGAAAGTGAGAGTGAACACTGAGGAGAAGAAACAGATGGGGGGAGTATTTTCACTAATGATGTAAAGGCCATTGGGTGCATGAAAAAAAGGCTTGGAAAAATCTGTATGTAAATGGATAGAAAACTGGCTAAAAGATTGTTTCCAGAGAGTAGTGGTTAATGATTCATACTCTGAATGGTCTGGGGTCATCAGTGGTGTACCCCAAAGTTCAGTGTTGGGACCCTTACTTTTTAATATATTTATAAACGATATAGGGTCTGCGATTAAAAATCCCATTTCAGTCTTTGCAGATGACACCAAGCTGTGCAGTGGAATAACGTCCTTACAGGATGTCTCCAACTTACAAGCCGACCTCAATGCACTGTTTAATTGGGCAACTATGTGGCAAATGAGGTTTAATGTTGGTAAATGTAAGGTTATGCACTTGGGGTCTAAGAATATGCATGCCTCATACATACTAGGGGGGGTACAACTGGGGGAATCAATGGTGGAGAAGGATCTGGGGGTTCTGGTAAATCACAAGCTTAATAATGGCATGCAATGCCAAGCTGCGGTTTCTAAAGTGAGCAAAATCCTCTCTTGTATTAAAGGAGGTATAGACTCCAGAGAGAGAGATATCATATTCCCCCTGTACAAATCATTAGTTATACCTCATCTGGAATATGCAGTTCAGTTTTGGGCACCAATTCACAAAAAGAACATTGGGGAACTGGAGAAAGTACAGAGAAGGGCAACCAAACTGATAAGAGGCATGGAGGAGCTCAGCTATGAGGAAAGATTAGAGGAACTGAATTTATTCTCTCTTGAGAAGAGGAGATTAAGGGGGGATATGATGAACATGTATAAATACATCAGTGGTTCATATAGTGAACTCAGTGTAAAGTTATTCACCTTGAGGTCATCAAGGACAAGGGGGGCACTCTTTATGTCTGGAGGAAAAGAGATTTAATCTCCAAATACGTGAAGGTTTCTTCACAGTAAGAGCTGTGAAAATGTGGAATAGACTCCTTCAAGAGTTGGTTCTGGCCAGCTCAGTGGATTGTTTTAAAAAAAAGAGCTGGATGTAGTCTTAAATGCACAAAATATAACATTTCTTGGATACACAGAATATAACTGGTTATTAACATTTATAGGTAAAGTTGATCAAGGGAATATCCGATTGCCTCTCGGGGGATCAGGAAGGAATTTTTTTTCCCCTGCAGGAGCAAATTGGATCATGCTTTGCTGGGTTTTTGCCTTCCTCTTGATCAACTATGGGTGTAGGATTATAACTTTTTCTTTTTCTATGGTTGAACTGATTGGACTTTTGTTATTTTTTCAGCCAGACTAACTATGTAACTATGAACCCTCCACTGCTTCTCACAGAAAAAAATGACATGATGTTTTCTTTTTATAATTTAAAGGAAAAGATGTGCATCATGGAGTAAACCAATGTATTCAGTAATAATGTAAAAATGAATAGTTACTGTAGGTCCTAATTGTGTATTTTTAAATGTTGACAGCTCATGTATCATCACACAGTGCATATTATGTGTACCAGGCATAGTATAATTCCAAATGTCAATAAATCTAGAAATCTTCCCCAGTGCTTCATTTAACTGTTGTCAGGGATTGTGACACTCAGGGCTCAGAAAAACACAAGTAGTGTGTACGGGACCGAACCCACAATGTCAGAAGATCTCAAAGGTCCATGAAACTCCAAATGTTAAAATATTGGGCCTTAAAACAGAACTTCATCCTCTCAGTCAACACTGACTATTTTTAATCCTTATGCTGCTAGCATTTGTAAATAGGAAAATGTCATATTTACTTGTTTTAAACTTTTAGATTGTTTCAGTTAATTCCTGGTTTCTATGTCTAAGCAAATTATGTCATACATGCCAGGAGTCTTCAGGAAGGGAGAAGGGGTTTCTCAGCTTAGTACACCCTCCTGTGTGCATGCCTGAGCTAGGGGCAGATGAATTTCAGGAAGCAAATGCTACATAAATTTTCTGCCCTTACACAAGATGGCCACAGCCAGAAATGCTAGGGGGTGTTTTTCATAGTGATTTCTCAGCAAAATAAATCACAATGAAATGTATGGATGGATCTTTGCTATGAATATTACCAATTAATTAAACAGCATTTTTGGTTTGTGGTGCTCAGATGCAGTGAAGTTCCACATTAATTTGTCACATGATGATGCAACAGTTAGTAACTTAGCAATTCAATACATCATTCCCATAGTGCAATTAATTATGTGCATTATTACATGGGTGTGACCAAATTCACCTTGGCACCAAGGTCTTGTGATATTTCAATACTTCACACAACAACAACAAATACTGTGTGTATAATTTAAAATGACAAACAAGCTATTAGTGAAGTCTGACACAAAGAATAATTATTAAGTCAAGTCGACAATGGGCATCCATTTGCTACCTCTTCTATCACTGCTGTCCCAACATTGCATCATTGAGTTACATTGATTTCCCAACCAACGAATCTAAATTATGCCACTTGTAGGATATTTTGTAAAGATTAAAAAAAAAAAATCAAAAACACAAAAGTCAAAATCAAAGTCTTACAACTGTGGAGTAATAGATAATGTTATTGAGGTGTAAAATCAGGAATCCTTTAGCATATCACAGAGAAGGATTTCCCAGCTACGGTTCCATGGAACCCTAAAGTTCCTCCAGAAGTTACCAGGGGTTCATTGAGCAATGGGAGATTTCTACCTCTCAGATGAGTTCCCACTAACACCATTGATCTTTTTAGCTATCTGTAAGGGATGTGACATGGGGTGGTTAGTTCTCATGGTAGATGCATTTATACAGTGAGTCCAAAGCAGACAATAACTATATTTAACCACTTGCCTACCAGGCACTTATACCCCCTTATTTACCAGGCCAATTTTCAGCTTTCAGTGCTGTCGCACTTTGATTAACAATTGCGCGGTTATAAAGGATTGTACCCATATGAAATTTTTATCATTTTTTTCTCACAAATAGAGCTTTCTTTTGGTGGTATTTAATCACTACTGGGAGCTTTACTTTTTGTGCTATAAGCAAAAAAAATGCAAAAAAATTTGAAAAAAAAAAAAACGTTTCTTTGTTTCTATTATAAAATTTTTCAAACAGGTAACTTTTCTCCTTCACTAATGTGCATTGATGAGGCAGCACTGATGGGCACTGATAGGCGGCACTGATGGGCACTGATATGCAGCACACTGAAGGGCACTGATAATGACGGCACTGATAGGCGGCACTAATGAGGTGTCACGGATAGGTGGCACTGATATGCGGCACTGATTGGTGGCACTGATAGGCAACACTGATAATGGGTACTGATAGACAGCACTGATAGGTGGCACTGACTGACATCACTGCTGGGCACTGACTGGCGGCACTGCTGGGCACTGACTGGCACAACCGCTGGGCACTGACTGGTGGCACTGACTGGCAGCACTGCTGGGCTGCACTGATGGGCAGTGGTGGGTGGCACTGGTGGGCACAGGTGGGTGGCACTACTGGGCACAGGTAGGTGGCACTTCTGGGCACAGGTGGTGACACTGCTGGGTGGCACAGTTGGGCGCACTGCTGGGCACAGGTGGGCGCACTGCTGGGCACAGGTGGGCGGAACTTGTGTGTGGCACTGCTGGGCACCGATCATCAGGGCACTGATGATCAGTAACCCTGATGATCGGTGCCGATCCCCGCTCTGACAACTGCCAGTTCTCTGCAGTACTTTCCTCATGATCTGACAGCGTGAGGAAAGTGCAGCCGAGAACCGGCATTTGCATTTCCCAGTGATCAGCGTGTCATTGGACACGGCTGATCACGTGTTAAAAGGCCGCTGTGATTGGCCTTTTACCACATCACGTGATCAGCCGTGCCCTTAGGGGGCACGCAGGAGAGCGCGTTCTGGGAGGACGTCATATGATGTCCACCCAGAACTGGCCGGCCGCAGTGCAGCCGTCATTCGGCTATCTGCGGTCTGCAAGTAGTTAAGGTTCTGGTAGTCCACTTTTATTAAAACAGCAGAAAGCAAAAGATAGTCCAATATATGGTTTCCCATGCAGGGGATCTTCTCCAGCTTCAACAGCCTACAAACACTAGAAGATCCCAGGCCACCTGGCTCATAAGCTCACTCAGCTTCAATATTGTGTGTGTCCAGTTCTCATGGATACTTGGCTTTCTAGCCTTTAGTCACAGCGCCCTGCTACATGGTCCACCTCTGGCCTATGGATTGGGGTTCTCCAAAGACCCCGATAGGAGCTGACATGATCCAGGGAACTTATACCCTTTGTTTCTTGGCTTTCGGCTGGGCCCTCTGACCCCTCAATGAGACCTTCTGTCTCTCCCACTGGGAGCAGCCTCCAAACTGGGAGCATCAAACAAAAAGAAAGGAGTCACCTAATATGACACGTATATCCGTGTCATAGTAATATCTCCGTCTCACTTATAATATAAATGTGGATTTATAAACCCAAGATACTTAATAGAAAATATGGCAGTATGACAAGAGCAGCACTACCCAAAAAAAGTACTGGGAGCCCTGAGCTATCCTCAGACCTGAGTAAATAATGACACTGCACACCTGTGTACTCAGCCAGGTTGCAGTTGTCTAGCAAAACCCGGACACAGGATTGAAGAGTTCCAATCCAGAACTACAGAATCCAGTGAAAACCAAAGACACAGCTTTCTCTGCCCAGAACCACTAGTCTGGAAAGTCGTATTTACCTTAAATGTGAATCCTGTGTCACATTTCCATACTTTATATTCTCACAGTGAGAGAGCCCTGTCCTGTCACATTCTTCCCATTGACCACAAGTGTAAGGAGTATTTTTCCCACTGACATCATACTAATGTATCATGGGTTTGTAGATATAGTAATTTTTAGCAGAGGTTCCTTGAGAGTGGAAAGTTTAAGGATTCCTTTGTGTTGAAAAGGTTGAGAAAGGATGGCATAGAGTACATTATATCTTTTTCTCATTTTTTGTTTATTGACTTTTAAACAATGCTACGTGAGATGATTACTAAACTGCAGCCATGGTTTTCTCACTTTGTGCACCAATGTTTTCTTTCCTCTATAAGTTGTATCCGTATTAATTCATTTATATTCTTACTGGAATCATAGTTTTTACCAAAGTCCAAATGAAGCCAGTAGAACAATCTTTTAGATCGATTACCATTTTAAAGCTGAACTCCAGGTACAAACACATTATATAAATAAACTTTGTGTGGCTCTAACACCTTTGCATACCCAGATATTGCCATATAGAAGTAGCAATTACATTATCACTGTGCCACACACAACATGTGCAGAAAGCAGATCTGTGGGAGGGACCCAGCATGCCCCACCCACTACAGGCTGCCTGCAGAAAACTAAAGGAGGGGGCGGAGACAAGACCAGTCATCCTGCACAAGCTGATATAGCAGCACTGACTGGTCGTTATTACAAGAAGTTCCTGCACAGAGGCAAAGTTTCACACTAAATTACTGCACAGATCTGGATAAAATACACAAAGCACACAAAGATTCAAGCAAGAATACACATGCCTCTTATAGTATAAATAGACAATAGTTATTTTTTGCAGAGTTCCGCTTTAAAACATGAACAGTTATGTATGTTTCTCTGCATGAGTTAAAAAATAATTTCTACAGTAAAGCGGATCTATTAATACATTTCACACCTGAATTAGTAGGGCATGTTATAAATATCTAATCACATTATCATAATTAAAAACTTGAAATAAGGGAAGATCTACAAACACAATCAGGCAGAGCTGAACAAATACTGGTTTGTCACCTCCTTCCAGACTTATTTAGTAAGCTCTACACAGAAGTAAGACTTTAAACACATTAAGACACACCTAGAAGATTATCACATTTACATACACATTTATAAAATACTAAAACCCTTAGTTTATGTTAAAAAAAGAATAAAATAAACTGTGGCTGTTTAATGCATTTGTTGCCCAGTTTTAGTTATCCAGTACTGCTATTCAAGGTTTATAGATTATCATATCATTTTAGGTAACTGTTTCATTGCCAAGAACATGACTGTAAAAATTGGGGACCTGGGATTAGCAACAACTGTGGACCAGTGTGAAAAAGTTCCAGGGTAAGGATAGAGCTGATTATTCCTTTCTGTAGAAAACCTAATACAGGATGTTACCGTTGACTAACGTATCTTCCTTTTCTTGCCCAGAGTCATATGTGGCACCCCAAATTACTTATCTCCAGAAGTGCTTGCTAAGGATGGACACTCCGTCAAATCAGACATCTGGGCCCTTGGATGTATAATGTAAGAACTGTTCATTACATACAATTTAGACCTTTGCAACAAACACTACATGGAAGAATGACAAAAACATGTGCTTCATCAGATGTTGGTCTGAAATGTGTGAAAGGTTGTGATTAGAGATGAGCGAATCGAACATGGCGAAGTGGAATTCGTTTCAAAGTTCAGGAAAAATTTGATTCGCGCCGAATCCGAAAATTAGCAAACTTCGCATGCACGAATCGAATTTTCCCAAAAATGGCGGCGACATGTGTGGCGACGGAGCGGGGATCTCTGGGAAGGCGCGCAGACAAGGCGCGCTGACCCATAATGCATTCATTCATGACATGTGATCGCATTAGCCAATCAGCAGCCAGCCAGCCAGCACTGTGTAATGGTGGAGCTGAAAATTGCGGCCATCTTACAATTCTCCATTAGCCTCCGGTCATTCAAGAGAGACAGACCTGTCTGTATTAGGGACAGAGTTAGGGCAAAAGAGACTTTAGGGCCACAGAATCGTTACTTAGGGACACAGAATCGTTACTTAGGGACACAGAATCGTTACTCAGGGACACAGAATTGTTACTCAGGGACACAGAATTGTTACTCAGGGACACAGATTCGTTACTCAGGGACAGACACAGAATTGTTACTCAGGGACACAGAATTGTTACTGAGGGACACAGAATCGTTACTCAGGGACACAGAATTGTTACTCTGGGACACAGAATCGTTACTCAGGGACACAGAATTGTTACTCAGGGACACAGAATTGTTACTCAGGGACAGACACAGAATTGTTACTCAGGGACACAGAATTGTTACTGAGGGACACAGAATCGTTACTCAGGGACACAGAATTGTTACTCAGGGACACAGAATTGTTACTCAGGGACACAGAATTGTTACTGAGGGACACAGAATTGTTACTCAGGGACACAGAATCGTTACTCAGGGACACAGAATTGTTACTCAGGGACACAGAATTGTTACTCAGGGACACAGAATTGTTACTGAGGGACACAGAATCGTTACTCAGGGACACAGAATTGTTACTCAGGGACACAGAATCGTTACTCAGGGACACAGAATCATTACTGAGGGACACAGAATCGTTACTCAGGGACACAGAATCGTTACTCAGGGACACAGAATCGTTACTCAGGGACACAGAATCGTTAATCAGGGACACAGAATTGTTACTCAGGGACACAGAATTGTTACTCAGGGACACAGAATTGTTACTGAGGGACACAGAATCGTTACTGAGGGACACAGAATCGTTACTCAGGGACACAGAATCGTTACTCAGGGACACAGAATCGTTACTCAGGGACAGACACAGAATTGTTACTCAGGGACACAGAATTGTTACTCAGGGACACAGAATTGTTACTGAGGGACACAGAATCGTTACTGAGGGACACAGAATTGTTACTCAGGGACACAGAATTGTTACTCAGGGACACAGAATTGTTACTCAGGGACAGACACAGAATTGTTACTCAGGGACACAGAATTGTTACTCAGGGACACAGAATCGTTACTGAGGGACACAGAATGTTACTGAGGGACACAGAATCGTTACTGAGGGACACAGAATCGTTACTCAGGGACACAGAATCGTTACTCAGGGACACAGAATCGTTACTCAGGGACACAGAGAATCGTTACTCAGGGACACAGAATTGTTACTCAGGGACACAGAATTGTTACTCAGGGACACAGAATCGTTACTGAGGGACACAGAATTGTTACTGAGGGACACAGAATCGTTACTGAGGGACACAGAATTGTTACTCAGGGACACAGAATCGTTACTCAGGGACACAGAATTGTTACTCAGGGACACAGAATCGTTACTCAGGGACACAGAATCGTTGAATTAAAGAGTATGTCAGACAACACGCAGAGGAGTGGCAGAGGAGGCAATGTTTCAGGAGCGAGCAGACGTGGCAGCAGAGGAAGGGGTCGAGGCAGCACTAGTCGCAGCCAGAGGCCAGTGCTCCCGGTGTCATCCAGCGGTCGTGTCTCCACCGACAACCCTGCCATCATTGATTGGTTGGCTCGGTCGTCTTTCTCTTCCCAGGTCACCTCTGACACCTACAGCCAACGGTCGGTGGGTACGTCAGACACAACCGTTAGTTGGCATGGCCCGGGAGCAAGCCCACTGAAATCACGTGTCCTCTACCTGCCCCTGTCCTTTGGTTTTCCCTCACCAAGCGAAGTATCGCATGCTGTGGGCTCAGCCCCACTGTACAGTGAGGAAGAGCTAACAGAGGGCGGTCAGGAACGGGGGAAGACATCAGCCTCTTCAGCAGCCAGGCGAAGAAGTAGTGGCGAGGAGAGTGGCTCGGTAGCCGGTCTAGAGACAGGTC